TTATTGCTACCCTGACGATGACCGACAACATTCCGTTATATACCGCCACCTACAGGCCAGACCTGCTCGCTTTTTTCTGGTATTATTTTTATGAAGGGTTTTTTTCTCCTGTAAAATCAATCCAATCATTTTTTACTTTTTGTAAGGAGTTCTTTTTTCACCCCTCAATCATCATGTTTCTCAATGGACTTCTAATTCAGAAACTATGAATTGCATTTTGTAAAGACTCGGCCTACCTCGTTTAAAACTCGCATGCAAATTTATTTTAACTTGCTTTGATGGGACCCCGACGGGTCTATAATAAAAATTATCTATCCATCTATCTAAAACCCTTATCGGTAGCTCGTGTCCATTTCTCGTGCGAGTAAAGAACACTCTTTAGGCAGGAGCGCCCTGAACGAAAGCCGTGTTGGGCATCACACAATATTTGGTTCTGTTCCAGGTATTTCATCAAGTGTCTTTTGATCATGCATTCCAGTATTTTACACGCGATGCAAGTAAGACTGACGGGTCGATAATCTCCGCAGTCAAGTCTTGAGCCTCCTTTATGGATCGGAGTAATGAGTGTGCACTTCCATTCTTCCGGGAGCTCGCCGTCTTCAAATGACTTTTGAAATATTCCGGATAAAGGTTTGCACAGTTCATTAGCAAGTTCACGAAGTGCTAATGCGGGAATTCTATCTGGACCAGGCAATTCGGCAGGTTTCACCGGGAGTGGCTCGGCCCTTACTTTGGTCGCTGAAAAAAGTGGTTCCTCGATTAAGGAGGGTAGGGAGTGGGTAGGATGGGGAAGGGTACTGGGAGGAGAGGTTGGTTGACGAACGGGTGGATGGGCAAATATAGAACTAGGCTCTCGGGTGAACGCGGTGTAGTACATTGGCATTAATTTTTTCAACACAAACATTTGCGGTGTCCTTAGAATATGAATTAACACACTTAGGGTAGTCGGCATAAAAAAGTCTGCGAATTTCTGATTTCAGCAGAAATATCATGGGTGTAAATAACCAAGAGTAGCGGACCCAAAACCCTGCCCTGTAGTAGGCCACTCGTGATCGAGTGAGGCTTTTCGTAGGCCTTTTGACAACGGTTAAATAGGAAAGACCCGAGGAAGTACAGCAGAGGCGGCCAGATTTTGAAAGCTTCCAACTTTAACACAAAGCGCCTATGTGGCAACTTACAGAAGGCTTTGCTAAGATCAAAGTAGATAACTACCACTGACTGCTGTTCATTACGAAGAGAAGTGATTAGATTAAGAAAGACCAAGGGACAAGTTTCTCAGGATCTTCCTGGTAAAATTCCATGCGGATTAGAGTTCAGAAGCCAATTTGTTAGACAAAAGTCGAGAATTTCATTGGAACCTTCTCTTCCAAAACGTTTTGCTGGAGACGGTGTTTTGTGCATGTCCCGATAGTTATTAACATTGAACCGAGATCCAGACTTGAAGATGGGAATGGTAATTGGCTTCTTCCATGTTTCCGGGAAAAATCCGTTCGAAATACAAACCAAGAATAAATGACTAAGCAATATCGGAAGGTCGGATGCCTGTCTAATTATCGAACTTGTAATCTCGCCCGTTCCTGAGCAATGTGCGTTTTTCAAACACCTTGTATGTTTCTTAACTAGATCTGAGGAGACGTCGATTGTACTCAATTACCTATCTGAAAGTGGACGAAAGAAAGGAACTGGTTCGGAATGCGTAATAAGATGTCTTGCAAAGAAAGCACTAGGCAACACTGCCTTGTCAGTGTCATAGATGAGGAAGATTTTGTTATTGTTTAGCAGGGGTAGAATTTCGTGACCACAATTAGAGTGCGGACGATGGTGGAGGATAATGGCAATTGACTTGGCCGGGTTTGGATCACTGAAAGTAAATGGTTGTCTTTGCCTTTTGCGCGCTTGGCACATTCGTGAGGCCATTTCGAAAATCCCTATGATTCTAAGATTAACGTAAATAAACTAATGGTTAATTTACGATGATACGTCTCAGCGTTTTAAGTCTGTTTCAATGGAAATGAGGAACAAGGTAATCCGCAGAATAAGACTTGAGATGCAAACTCCATGACGCCGCTGGAAACACTTGACATGACGTCAAACGAACATTTGCACTACTACAGAATAGAAACGCATACCAATCCAATGATACAACATAGTTATTAACAAAGACGTTATCCGCGCTATCGTAATTCAGGTAGGTCCGAAGTGTGCTGGTCATTTTTCGAAAAGCAAACGGTAAGCTAGAATGAATTAATAAGTGGTCGTTATTAAAAAGGTCCCTTTTACAAGCGGAAAAAGTAGCAATATCGTTGGTAAAGATAAGATATAGAATGCGATTATTTTTTGTTGGACAGCGCATAAACTGTAACCAGTTAGCAAAAATTGACAATATCTTGTGAGGGTTAGAATCTAGGTGAACAGGTATGGAAACCCAATCTATTTCAGGAAGGTTATAATGCCCAATGATTTTTCAAACACCGAAAGCAGCTTCCGAAATGGATTTAAAGATTTCATAAAGTTGCGCATCATAACTGGCTGAAGTGTATGGGGTATTGTAGATATGTAGTGGCTTGCCATCATGGCCGGTCTGGTTTCATTGTTCAAGGCCTCGCTGTCCAAGGTCATTCACCCCTCGCAGCGAGCCGGCCCAGACGAGCTAACCTGAAGCCACACGACTAATAGTTCGGGCATACCTGCGTCCGCGCAGTCGCAGCTGCCCATGCAGCCACTTGAACGCGCCACCCCCTGCAACCAGTAAAACGAGCCACTGGGACACCACCGCTCGGCAAATGCAACACACTGACTGGACGCAACTTGAGCTTGGTCCACAAGCCTACAAGAGCGTCTGCCACCACTATCACAGGGACGCTCAGGCCTGACTGGACGCAGTCAACACCAGCCCTGGCTTTGCCAGTGGCCACTGTCGCCGGGAGGACAACTCCGGATTCTGTGCACAATAAACCCGTCATTCTGGTGCCTTCTGTCTTCTCCTTCCAATCTGGGGTTCGACCAGTTGGTTGTGGCGCACAGAGCACTTACTCTCATTACCTGGTCAGAACAGATACAGCCAATAACCGCCTTTCTTTGTGGCGAAATAATAATACACGCAAACCGCAAGTTTCTGGTGAATGACGAGGCGTCTAGGTAATAGGCAGAGTGCGTTAGGTAGGAACTAAGACAAAGAAGACGACCGCTCCCACGCCTAGTTGTGCGGTCTTGACGGTAGAAATAAAAGTCACCGATTAAATGGGAAGAATCGGGAATTAGAGAATAGGTCCAAGAATATGTTATACATATAATGTCAGGCGTCATTTCGAGGGCAATGGTTCTGATTTGGCCATATTTTTTATTTCAGACTTGGCATTCAATAATATAATTGCCGTATATTTCGTATATTCTGCACATTTTATCTGCTCCATTTTTTTGACAAGTAATTGACTAAAATAGATAGAACTGCCAAGGATTATTTGGCGACACAAAATATAATGCCGTTGTAGGTTTACGCACATTTTCGATTTTTCACTCTAAACTTTCTTGTACACATGAACGTTTCTGTACGGTTGTTTAAATTAGTTCGACTACACACATTTGGTTTCAGATTGAGAAAAAGCACGACTTCCTGTCCGTCTGCTGCTTGGTGTCATTGTTTCGTTGATTGCGCTCATCCGCCTCAATCGCTTTTAGTCAATCGACACGAAACGTTTATTTGTTTCGACCATATTTAAATGGACGTAAATTCACCTGAGCGACAAGTCTCATTAACAGACTTCGTCTTGGAACTTTATCCATGACATTCACCCTACAGCCTAAGATTCTGGAGAAGGCTTTATTTTTCGCGCCGTTATATTCCTTTCGACGTCGTTATTTTTCTTGTAAGAAACGTAGCATCCTCTAATTAGAAAGACGTATTTATTATTCTTTGAATTTTTAATTGCTATTTACGCTACATAAATGGTGACCCTGTTTTTCCATGTATACGCAGCTTGCTACTTCATATGTGTGTGTGTTTTGGGATGTGGGGATGTTCGGTTTCGGACCCACGTGACGGTCGTAGTGTGTAGCTCACCTGCCTGCAAGTGTGGTGGGGCTAGAAAAGTGTCCCAAGCAAATGCTGTGACCACGTCCTGTGCACGCTGATCGTGGCTCGAAGATACAAAACGTACGATCGAAACAGCCAAACAAGAAACCATACACTCTCTCTCTTCCCATCGTCTCCGCTGCCCCACCACACAGGCTGACAGGTTCAGTACGCTAGCTAAGTGGAGGTAGTGGTCAGGGAACTGATGCGCTGCAGGATGGATATCGCTGCACTTTGGGAGACCCCGTTTTCCGGAAAAGGACAACCGGCAGAGATGGGTGCCGGATACGTCTTCTGCAGTGGTTGCCCCAGTTCAGAGCGACGGGTGGCGGCGTCGCCTTGGCCATCCTGAATGACATCGTTGGACAACTACCCTGACTGGCGCAGGGTATCCACGATCACCTAATGAGCCTTTGCCTACCTATATGGGAAGGCAATTTTGCCGTTATCGCCAGTGTCTTCGCTCTCCCGATGATCAGCCCCGACGCTGCAAGGGCCGAATGCTACGAGGAGCTGCTTGCCCTACTAGCATCTGTGCCCAAGGTGGATAAGTCGAGTGTCCTTGGTGACTTCAACAACAGCGTCGGTACAAACCATGCTGCCTGGAGACGAGTTCTGGGTCCCCATGGTTTCGACGGTTCCAATGACAATAGCCTACTCATCATACGAACCCGTTCAGAACGCCGCCTCATTGTGACCAACCCCTTCTTCCGCCTTTAAACGCGAGGGAATGCAACCTGGATGCACTTTCGGTGGCGAAACTGGCAACTGCCGGGCTACGCCGTCGTTCAAGGCGAGAGAAGCGGGACGCGCTGGTAACAAAGGCGATCCTCGATGCCCATATGTAGACCGACCACCGCATTGTCATATTCGAGATGCGGTTTCGTCTGCAACCCCGCTAGAGGCCATAAGGCAAGCAAGATCCGGGTAAGTTGAATATTGCCTTACTGTCTTTGCCTGCTTACCATCTACATTTCAACAATGAACTATTTTATAGGCTAGTCAACCTTTTAGTCGTGGCCGCCACCACCGACAAGAACGACTTCGTACAGAACCAATGGTGTCAACTGAGGGACATTGTCCAGCCAACCGCCCTGGCAGTCCTCAGGCGCACAGGTCGCCAAAATCAGGACCGCTTCGACGACAACGACGCCGCTATCAGCAACATACTTGTCGAGGAGAACCGTCTGCTAAATGTCCACGTCTACCATCCCACCGGCGACAACGAAGCAGCCTTCTACCGAAGTCGCCGCCTTGTGCAACAGCGGCTGCAGGAGATTCTAGATGCCTGGACAGCTCGCAAGGCCGAGGAGATCCAAGGGTACGTGGACCGCAACGAATGGAGTAACCTTATCTTCGCGATCAAGGATGTGAACGGTCAAACAGCCAAAGGCACCTCTCCTCTACTCAACGCCGACCAAAGTATGCTACTTACTGAGAATGGAAATCTGTTGAAACGGTTAGCCGATTTTCTTACGGGCAGATCTCAGCGTGTGTGTATCGGAAACACCAAATCGGAATGGGCAGCCGTCCCCAATGACGTTCCGCAGGTGAGCGTTCTGGATCCCGTCCTGTGCTCAATATATGTGAACGACTGCCTGGGCTGTCTGAACTGCGAGCACGTAATGTTTGCCGATGACCTCATAATGTGAAAATCAATAGAGAACAAAGAATAATCTCTATAGTTGCAAAACAATCCGAATTGCCCGCAACAATTGTGTAATGAGTAGTGTTTTACCTCAATCTTAACAAATGCGGACGTGTCCGATTACCATGGAGCAGCATGAGGCCGTTGAGATTCGGATCGCATTACTTTATAGGAGGTCACCAACTCGAGTCAGTCAACGAGTTAAGAGACCTCGGAGTGTGGATGACGCGAACTCGCAAACCGTCGTCTTATTGCTCCAAGGTATCAAAGAGGTCCATGAGTATTGTACGCGAGATTGGGAGTTCCTTCCCCAGTTTTGAGGAAGAACTTTTCGGCCGAGTATTTGCAACATTCATTTGGCCAATGTAAGAATATTGCGTTCAGGCCTGGTGTCAGTCAGTGTATTTGAGGGGAATAGGCCTACGCCTTTGAACTTCCTATTTTTACATAAAAAATCGAGAAAATAAGCAACAATGTGAAGAAATCACAGAATTAAGGGAGATGCAGACATCGGTTCACATAGGTCACTGTTTTATTGTTATAAAGTCACATAGTACGCTTGTTGCTGCAGAATATGTATGTAAAGCCGACATTTAAAAGTCTCCGCAGATTGAGACATAACAATCGTCTCGGACAGGTTATTCCACGGTTACCCGATACGGTTGGAGAAAAAAATATTTGGTCATATTCTGTCTACGTTCAGGCACACGTAGCTTAGAGGTATGTCCCCGGAGGTTAGTTTTAGTGGCGAGTTGGACGAAAAGATTGCGCCCTACTGGAAAACATGCAAAGAAGAGCAATCAAACTGGCCGGCGGATTAAGTTGAAAACCTAATAAGAGGCGTCTGGAAAAGCTTAAGTTATTTCCTCTCTCTTATTGACAATACAGAGGGGATATGATCATGACCCTGAGGATAGTCTGCAGACCAGACTGTGCTCTTCAGTTAAGTAATTTCTTCAAACTAGCGCGAACTACCAATCTTCGAGTCTACCAACACAAATTGAAGATAAAATATGCCAAGTTTGGAGTGCGTGCCAAATTCTTCCTCCGCCGGCTGGCTAAAGGCTGTAACAAGTTGTCAAACTCCTTTTTCTTGGCAGAAAACGTTGAGACCTTAAGAAATAGCTTGATGAGTTTATGCTTGCTGGTCAAATATTTACTCGATATCAATTACTGACATATCTGTTATGCAAATATGTGCATGCTCTCCATCCGTCTACCCGTACATAGGGTTTTCCAAGGCTCTGCCTGCCTCATTTAAATATGCTGAATTACACTGAACAAAGTGAAACAGGACTGCGTCCTCGCGCCTACCATCTTTAGCCTCAAGTTTTCCGCCTTGCTGCTGGACGCCTACTGCGACGAACGTGGAAGATGTTGTTTATGCACAAACCTCCACCCGACACTGCCTACTTCGCACCCCAAATTAAAGGGAGAGGCGGCTAACAGCAAGCAGCGGACAACTTCACATATCTGGGCACCACCCTCTCTCGCAACACCGAAATCGGCGATGAAGTGTCCCGGTAGATTTACAAGGCCAGCCAAGCCTTCAGCTGTCATCAAAACACAGTTTGGAAACTACACGACCTCCACCTCATCACTAAAACGAAGATTTACAAAACAGTCATCCTGCTGACTCTGCTCCGTAAAGCGGAGACCTAGACGGTGTACAAGAAGCCGGCGCGTATATTTAATCATTTCGTCTCAGCTGTCTTTGGCGGATATCGAAGTTGAGGTGGAAGGACCGGATTCTGTACGCGGACTTTTTGGAACGGGCGGGGATCCTCATCACCTACGTCATGCTGAGGCAAATGCAACTGCGCTGGAGCGGCCATCTTGTACGCTTGAATGACGTTATGTTACCCAAACGACTTTTCTATGAAGGTGTCGCCACGGGTTACCGCCGGCAAGAAGGTAAGTTCCGGCACTACATGGATACCCTGAAGATCTCCCCGAAGGGCCCGAAATTCAACACGGCCAAATAGGAAAACCTCACCCTGGACCGATCGATTTCTAGGAAAGCAGTGAATACAGGCGCGAAAATAGGTGAAATCAACTGCATCAGCGCCGTATTAAACCAAACGCCAAGACTATAAGTATTAACTGTGCCCACCTCGCAAAGATAACACTGTACGGTCCCGACCTGTCCACACTGCCAGCGGACGTTTCGGGAAGGGAACCAGTCGGTGTTATTGTACATCTTCGAGTCAAATGCTGCACCCGAACGACACCACCCGTCCACCTCTGACTTGCACCACATGTCAATAATCAACATTTACCGCACTCGCGAATCCCCACTGCCAACTTACATCGTCTCAACATCCGCTGCGGCGGCTTCAGTTCCAACTACCGCCGTACACAAGCCCGACACACTGACAAACATCAAACTCACCACCGCCAACATCAGCGATGTTGACTTTGTCCATAGCGGTCTCCATTGCGATCGCACCTTCATATTACACATCGGCCTGATCGGTCACTTTTTAATCCATCACTTAGGGACTGGCGAACTACTGCCTGGAGCACCAACCTACACTCGCCCTCATCGAGCTCGTACGGTCACTCACCAAATGGGTCTATTGGGTCACATGCGTCTCCACGAAAACTTGCGGTTGACCACCACTGGTCCAACAACACCATCGCATCCTCCCCCACCAACACTCGCAACACCCATCAACATAATCCATCGTGTGCTCCGAGCTCCGTGTATCAAGTAACGTGGCCTAGAAGGCTGCTGACAGGCGATCCAGCTCAGTTCAAGCAGACGGCTCAGTTGTGTGTGTATGTGTGTGTGTGTGTTTGGAGTGGCGGACCGGCGTGTGGAGAGTCAGGCTGAAACAAGTACTTAGCTTGACTTATGGCACTTTCACGCATGTGAGATGTATGCCAGCCAACCAGCGTCGTGCGAAATCCTGATGTTTGTGTTTGGGGGGTCAGGTTGTGCATGCGTCAAGCGCAGACAAGGCCGCCACGCACATTCCTTGCACCTGTCATCAAACCGGCTCGGACACTAACTATGGCCTGGGTATGGGGAGGGAGAGTGAAGTCGACGACTCGGCACATTCTCTTCATTATAACTTATATGTCGCCCTTGAAGCTATCAAGATGAGCTAAGTCCGCGGCTTGGGAGGGTGCCATCTGACACGATAACTTGGACCTTGCAGTCCGCCCAGTGTTGTGTGGTTGTATGGAGCGGCCAACTGGTGGTCTAAAGTCAGGCTACAATAACTTCTTAATGTGGCCTTTGTGGCACGTCCACTCATTGGGATCTGAGCCGGGTGTGATGGCACATATATGCGCGGCTCCGGTCTTCTTCACTCGGTGTTGACACTGGGCTCAGGTGGAGGGGGAGAAGAGAGGGTGACAGATGCCCAGCAAGCCTACACTCACTATAAAGTAGATCACTCCCAAGTCACCGCGCCTGCTTCACCTCGATGTGAAGCAAACGGTGGTCATTGACGGATGCAACATCCGAGCTGCCCGACTGAGCATAACGACATTTTCTGCGCTCCAACTCGGACTACGTTGATGTAGATACCACTTCACAGCTACTGTTTCTAAGGTTGCCGCTGGAACTGTACGTACCAAAGTGCTTTCTGCGTCTCTGGAAATTTTTCCTCGCGTGCAAATTTATCAGAAGTCTGCCTCTAAGCGGAATTTGCTTTTCATCAAAATCTAACGGACTGTGGAGTCTATTCGCGCGCAGATATCGGCCCAGGAAAACAAGTCGTTGACACGCAGGAAGATCAGGAGTTATCCAGGGCCTTTGATATTCTCAAAACTTCTGAGTTGCTCCTACGCATATTTCATACCGTTCATATTTTCTGTATACAGCGACTTTTTCAAAAAATAGACGTATTTTTGACCAGTTGGTTTTGAATATTTGCCATACTCCTTCGTATACAGTCGTAATCAGCAGTTAGAATCTCGAAAGCGAATATACACTTACGAACACACGAAGGTCATGGACACAGAACAACTTTTTGATAGTTCCACGACCAGGACTAGCATTATGTATTAAGGAGAGTCTATTGAGAGGGCCTTACCACCCAGGATTAGCACTCGCTTTCCTTATAATTGCAACCAGGGGGCCGCAAAACGCGCTAAAAGCGTAATCACAGCAAAATCTGTTAGTTACGAGGACACGCCGTGCAATCGGTGCTCCTATATTCTGCGGAAATTTTTAAAACTCGAAGAAGTGCTGGCTGCTTTAAGGGAACTCGTGCAAGCGGACGACAGTGGGCAAAACGCCGTTAACAGCGCTAGATTTGGCAAGACAAAGGGAAAGATCGAAACTCCAAAACAGCCAAGGAACTAAGTATGTGGAAAACCACAGTGCAGGGACGTCGATACCAATGACGATGGCAAAATAGCAACGGAGTCTCTTGTTTCCCTGGTAGACAACAGAAACGAACCATCAACTTCTCTCAGCCATTTGGCATGCTTAGTAGAACCCTCGGTTGGAAGTGAGGAAACAAGCTCGTGGCAACGTGGGATAGGTAAGCAGCACAACAGGAATATAAAACCCTAGACGACTCCGGTAGATCTCCTGAGACCTTCGGCTGACAAGGCCGCCGGAAACCGAACAAATTAACCCCTTTATCTTCAGCATTGCGTAGTCGTCCAGGGCCCATCGGAGGCGAATGGTCCTACCCCGAACGGGAGGATTTCCGCTGACCTTGATATGCTTCAACACCTCCTGAAAAAAATGCTTAATTAGAATGAAAAGGTTACCATTCGCGCAACCTTCAGGATCGGGAAGGTAAGTGAACAATCGGAAATTGTGCGGCCGTGACCTCTGAAAATTGTTTTGAGCAGTAAACAGGAGGCTAGCTTACTTCTATCCAGGAAAAGCTGCCTCCGAAACCCTCACAAGGTTTTTTCAACCGGGCTATTCTCCAGCGGAACGTCTTAAACGCCGTAAATTAGTGACGGAGCTGAAGACGAGGCTTACAGCGAGAGAGAGAGAGCAAATTGGCGATTTTCATAGGACGAGTGATACAG